AGTTCGTGTCGAGGTCAATAAGCGAAAAATGTTCAAACATTTAGGATATTTTATAGAAACAAGCTGATATTTATCAAGTATAACCCTAAAATAGTGAATGTGAACTATCCGCGCTTCATTATTCATCTTTCCGCAGTAAGTTCTAAGCTGTCATCTGTCATCTAATTATACAGAGTGTTTCATAATACCGTGTCGCACGTTGTCGTATACAGTCAATTTATCGCATATTTGATGAGTTGACTAAAACATTCAAAAACTACATTGGATGGCATTGAAGTACCTTCCTCATGACATATAAAAAAATCTATTACATTTGACAGTTCTCTGGCAGCTATCCCCCCCTTTCTATTTTCAAATGTTACCCCCTGTATATCATTATTGCCATCCTATAAGAAATACAACGATAGCATATACTTGGTATTCTTTTATTATTATAACAAAAACAGCAACATTTGATGAAGTATGAATTTCAACTAAAATAGCTTATATGGGATTCGAAAAATGAACTAAAAATCACAGCAAGTGTTCAGAATTATTATGCCATGAGAAGCATCGGCTTTTTGTAACAAAAAACATGGGCGGGGGCAATATTTTTGTTTTTACTAGGATAATTGAGTAACTTGAAACAAGTCACTAAATGTTGATATTTTTGTTATCAATAAAAAAATACCAACTATACGCTATCGTTGTATTCCGAATTGAGGGACACTGAATTTCCAATGACAATATACATGGGATGCCATTTGAAAATAAAATGTGGGGGGGTAGCTGTCAGAGAACTGTCGAATATAATGAATTTTTTTATGTCATTAGGAAGGTACTTCGATGCCATTCAATGGAGTTCTTGAATTTTTCAACTATCTCGTCAAATAAGCGAGATATTGCCTGTAAAGGATAACTCGGGACACCCGGTGGACCTCAGGATGAGAAAGCTCATCCTAAAATAGGAGAAATGTGTCTCTTAACAGTTAGTTAACCCTCTGAAATGATTTATTTTCAAGATAGGGTGTAGCAATTGAAAAAAAAATCAGAAAACAACTTTTGTACCTATTACTTTTTTTTATCGCTCGAGTATAAAAATGGCGAATTTAGGATCAACAGAGGAACACCCTGTAAGTCACACATTTTTCTGTCAATTCCTATCACTTAGAAATGAATGATCATTATTGAGAATAATTTTCAATTTTTATATTGTGAACGGCAGCAGATATCACAACCGACATTTTCTCTTTTAGTTATCCTGGAACCCTAAAAAACAATAAGGGTACGCCGATGGAACCCCGAGTTTCTTTTGATGAATTTCTGATGGCATCAATGAATTTCGGAAATTCTCACTGAAGATCAAGTCCTTTGCAAGAAGAAACTAACAATAAAAAGAAGAAACAATTGGAATTCAGTCAATGATTAAAAAGTCATCAAGTCACGGTTGTAGATAAATCTAGTGAGTAGTGTATCACTCTGGATTAGAAAATGACCATGAAAATTACGTAAAATATGAGCAATCGATGAGGTACTGGTCTTAATTGGTTATAATTCATAAATAGGTAGCTAGCAATCACTATTATCTCTCGTTTTATGAGCTAGTTGAACAGGAAATTAGATCAATTTGAGAGATCTAGAAATATAACGAGGAAAGATTTTGAAACTTTATTTTATGGCGAACCGTTAATAGACTTACAGTTAATTTCTCATTTTCGTGTCCAAACAGGAATCATTTTACCCTTCTTCAAACATTGGAATCATAAATTTAGATTCAATTAACATACCTACCCAAATATTTGAGCAGTTCCAATTAATGTATCCACATTTCTACCCTCTAAAATGCATCACTAATCCATTTCATTATTTCAAAGCACTAACACAAACGAATTCACTGTCACAAACCGTTTTGTATTGTGTGTATCTTAGAACACCCCTGCGGTGAAAGTAAATTCTTGTAATGTCATTTTTTTATCACTTGGGGCACACGAAAGGGAATCCCTATAATGTTCGAAGAACATCATGCCAACCTAAGCAGGAGGGAGAAGAGGTAGGTATTGGAATTGTTTTGAACTTTTGGAGGTTATAAGCGTCATTCTACATAAAAACGAGTTTTGGTCAAGAGTTGTTGGACGTATCTCAAGGTTGACGACAAGAGAATGTGCTGACTGGGCTTGCAGAATTCGTCTGACAGATATTGCTAGTGATGAAGTGAATTCTGAAGTTCGTTTCCAGTGGAAGTATCTATAGAAAAGTGGAAGGTTGCCGACTTTTCTTCGGTGTTCTGATGATGTCAAAGAATTATTGAGTGTGGCATCACCCACCACGCGAATGTTTCTTCTATGGATGGAATATAAGAGCATCAGCGTATGTTTGGGTGCTGAACCCTATGATACGTAGGAACAGTGTTCTAAAATAGTCTGTATCTGTACTTTTGTACTGTTGAGATGAAATAGTATATTGTTTAACGAGCACGAAATGATAGTGATTTCCTACGAGAATGAAGTTTGCAGCTGAGCCGTAGGCGAATGCTGCAATCATTCTAGTAGGAAATTAACATTCCGTGGAAGTTATACACTATAATTTTTCTACGGCTATAATATATAACAGCGGCATTTTCGATTTATTCGTCTTGTAGCCATCTGATTTTCTGTCAAGTAATGCTCATCTATCAGACAAAGCTGTCATTGCTTGAAATTTGACATTCCATGGGCGATGATTTTTTTTTTAAATAAGAACACAATGGAGTCATTGTGGTATCAGATACGGAAATAAAATTGATCACATACAAAGTACCTCATTGATGTAGATGTAGATTTTCGCACGCAATAAATATCCGAGTTTCTCTGAAGCAGCCTTCTCGATAGACATGATTTTCCAATGAAATAGTACTCAATAGTCCATTGAGTGTACTATAGGACCAGGTGAAGTTATCGCCTTGTATGATCCGAATATACAGAGCCTAAATAATCGATTATAAACTTCATGAGAATATTTCGAAGAGACCTAACGAGAAAATAGGTCATTGAAAATGATGCTATTTATTTATTTCCGAGTGGATTTCACACACATGTTCTTTGTGAATCTTAAACGCGCTATATGCGTCGATTTTTTTCTATGGGAAACGTTGCCTGAACATTGAATATGATGTATGAATGAATAGATTTCGATTTGATAGTGTTGTGCTCTCACGTTACTTGTGAAACTTGTGAATTAATTCTAGCGATTTTCCATTGTGAAGATCGGATGGCGATAGTTATTTTTTTGGGAAGTAGTTCAACTTGCACAACTTACTAGGGAAAGTTTACTAACGAATTAACAATTCCAACCTTCAACCTTCATTGAACTATTTAGATCTTATAACTGAGAGATCTTGGATCAACAGAGCTGCCCAAATTTGTCAGCAGGAGCGAGACAGTACTGTTTCGGCCCACCAGGCCTCATCAGCCACTCTCTGTATGCTGAAAAATGGGACCACTCAACGCTTCGGATATATCATTCATTTCGAAGACGTCGGATAATACATGAAGATCTAGTCATGTTTAATTTAATGAAAGCTTTCGATCATTCCAGGTCTTCTAGTCAATTATTGAGGAATGTCAAATGGAGTTTGTTTGAAAAATGAAGTTTCATCACAAGTAAATTATTTTCTGCATTCATCTAGATATTCATACAGTTTTCGAAAAACATAAAGTAGAGCATGAAGTGTCCCAGAAGAACAAAGAATGTTTCATTGAAAGAAGAGGCAGCAAGCAAAACTGTTCTATATAGAGGGTTAAATTTGGTACAACCCCAAAAAGTGTATCACCCTGTGCATAATTGAAATCACCTAACAGTCCCAAATACTGAGTTTTTCAAGTGTAATAGCTACACAAAATTTCAATTCATTATTTTGAAAATTCTAGGAGAAAACTCGAAAAACAATGAATCTCGAACTTTGACTTCCAATATATCAGAAACGAAGCTTCCACGCATATATTATGTTCACATGAACTTTTCATCTTGAAAAATTGTATTCCTCAAGCTATTAAGTCCTGCTACAAAAAAACTGACTCACTGAATGGCAGATGTTTTTTCTTGAGAATGGAAAGCTGATCTGTTTCTTCAGAATATGGTCCATTCCCTTCCAACATTCAGAGGCAGCAATATCAGGCAGAAGTTCACGAGTCTACCGTTGACGTTGAGGTATATACAATGTGCTTTTTTTCTTAATCCTTTATGGACACCACTAAGGACCAATTACCGTCACTCCACCTTCTTCCAAGGCTCATCTGACCGAAGTCTCCGATGACACTCAGGCCCATACTATCTTGCCTCGAATATGCCGTTATTGATTTTACCATAAACGACCCGTGGTTCTTATAAAAGGGTCCCTTAAAATGCCATCACAGTAACCTGTAAGCACTGCCGCTCACAGTACCAGAGATTCGTTTGATTGACCCTTGTCGTTTAGATTCTTGTACTCTGAAGACTACTCTTCCGAGTCCCGATATCGTCTATGGAGAAGACCAACAGTTTTCCTCCTCCTAAGAGTAAGGGAGGAAGGGGTAGGTCCAGCCCAACACAGGGCTAGATCCCGTTGTCGACACCATTCAACCTCGGTCATCCCTCGCCACGGGTTCCCACAACTTGGATTAGGTTGCGAGAACCTTTTTTATCAATCCGCAGCCACATAAACAGATGTTCACAAATTATCCCAGATGTCCATACCAAACTTGTCTCATCTGGGTGATCCGAACAAAGTGCCCACAAAATGCTCCTTTTGTCGAGCAGTCGCGGCTTGTGAGGTGAGGTGAGGTGGAGAACCCAAAAAATAAGAATTGGTCTGGAGAGGCCAATATAGAAGATTGAAAACTGGAGACTGAAGATATTACCATAGCAGACAGTTGAAGTCTGATCAGAATCTGGCTAGGGAACCACAAGTCGTGAGCCTCTGAGAGGTACGATGTGCTTGGCGGGAAGACTAGCAGATAGTTTGTTTCTTGAGAATGAAGAGATGATGTTTCTCTCTTTCTCTGCAGAATAGTTGCCATTTTCTTACAGCACTCAGAGGCTGCATCCATCAGAGAGAAGCTGACGAGTCTACCGTTGAAGTTGAGGTATATACAATGTGCTCAATCGATGGTAGTTTTCATTCTTGAGAATGAAGAGCTGACATTTTTCTTCAGGATATAAACCATCTTCTTGTAGCACTCGCGGGGCACTATCAATAAGATAGAATTTCACGTGTCTACTGTTGACGTTACAATGTGCCTGGTGGGAGAATAGCAGATATATTTTTTTGAGAATGGAGAACTGACCTTTTTTTCAGAATATGGACCAATACCTTAAAGCACTGAGAAACCCTCAGGGGCTCACAACTTGTGAGTACGGGAATGGTGAACCCGAGGTACCCTAGCCGGATATTCACCATATTTCAACTTGTCTTGGGTGATATCCTCTTCTCTCTTCCTTTTTCAATCTATCTATCGGCCTTTCTTGGTCAACTTCTCTTTTCCTCTTCCCCTTCAAGCCCAACCTCACCATCAAGTGGTGTGGGGAGGACAGACCGCGGCCTCTCGACGGATGAAGCATTTTGAAACCATCTTTGCTATCTCCGGGCCAGATGGGACAATTTGTGGACATCTGTGGCAGGGATGGGGCGATTTGCTGATGTCTGTCTAGGTGGCCGAGGACTGGTCAACGAGGCTCTGGCAACCTAATCCAAGCTGTGGGAACCCGTGGTGATGGATGAATGGCACCGAGGTATGGTGTCGCTAACAGGGCCTCTGGGAAACAGGACGACATCTCAGAGTAAGTAGCCTTAGCCCTGTGCAGGGGGCACCACAGGGCTGGACCAACCCCTTCCCCCGTCACTCGTAGGAGAAGGAAAACTTTTGGCCTTCTTCGTAGACGAGAACATGGATCGGAAGAGTAATCTTCAGGAACCGGAACGAAAAGGGTCTTTCATATTGAAGTAACCCTTAATAAGCACCATGAGTCGTATATGGTTAAATTGATAACGGTATGTAGGTAAGATACAATGGGCCACTAGGCCTAAGTGTCGTCGGAGACTTCGGTCAGACGAGCCTACAAACGGGGTGGAGTGTTTAGTGGGTATACCTGGAGTCAGGGGTGTAGGAGTCACACTATCATATGGGGGATTGGACCCATATGGTGTCCATAAAGGATTTCAACCACCTCGATGAAAAAAAAAAGCACTGAAAGGCAGCATACATCAGAAAGATGTTCACGACTCTCCAGAATAGTGACCATTCATCTCTCCCAGCATCCATCAGAAAGAAGTTGACGAGTCTGCCGTTGACGTTGAAGAAAATACAATATGCTTGGTGGGATGAATCGATGGTAGTTTTCATTCTTCGGAATGAAGAGCTGGCATTTTTCTTCACGATAAAGACCATCTTCTTGTAGCACTAGCGGGGCACTATCCATAAGATAGAATTTCACGTGTCTACTGTTGACGTTATAATGTGCTTGGTGGGAAGAATAGCAGATATATATTTTTTTGAGAATGGAGAACTGATCTGTTTTTCAGAATAGGGACTATCATCGTCCAGTACTGATAATCAGCATCCATTAGGAAGAAGTTCACGAGTCTACCATTGACGTTGAGAATAAAAAGCTGATAATTTTCTCCAGAATTTTTCCCAATACCTTCCAGCACTGAGAGACAGCATACATCAGAAAGAAGTTCACGACTCTACCATCGGAGTTAAGGTATATACAATGTGATTGTAGCGGTAGAGCTAGGTAAAATAGATATTTCTTCTTGAGAATGGAAAGTGAGTATACTTCTTCTTCTTCACCAGCTTCTTATGCACCGAAAATACCCACACAAAAACAATAATAGACGGAAACAAATGAAACAATGGACACACACTAGGACCTGCACCTCATGACGCCTACCTTCTTGGTACAGAGAGTGATGGTGTGCATCTTTGACGATCTTCGTCTGTCTTCGGCGGTGCGCAGATTGTCGTCTGTTCGAGAGGTTAGAAGCCACAGGCGACTTGACAGCCGCTGGAAATTAACGTTTTCAGTCGCGCTACAAGCTCGCTGGTCGTAGTATGGTTGTAAGCAGCGGATTTTTTCGGTACTATTACGTGTCGGTGTGCGTAAAATTACGGTGAGCTGCGCTCGCTCTTTTGTTTTTTGTTTTTTTTTCTTGTTCTTCGGGCTTCGGGTGTTTTATGTTCGCGTTTTGACAGTGGAAGATTTGGTGCTCTGGATTTTTGGGTTCTTGCATTATTATTGACTCTTGGTGAAGGTGAGTTTTTACATGAAGATTTGCGGGGGTGAGAATTAACTATTGAATTAAGAATCCAAGAAGCTGATTTGTTGAATAATTCGTATAGACCAATCAGCTTCCAAAGATTCTTGATTTGATTGTTAATTCTTAGTTTATTTGATGAGTTTATGAATCCAGCATTTGTGATTAAATTGAAAATCGATGATTTTGATGATTGAAAGGAAGTAATTCGTCTAAAAAAGAATGCTACTTTGGTGATCGAGAAAAATGGAGAGAAAAATAGTCGAGATCACCAACGTATTTCGCGTACGAATTGCAAACCACATTTTTTTACAAACGTCAAAAAAATCTGGAATAAGTGAAGTGCGTAGCTTGATAATCGGCTTGATATGAAAAATCGAGTAAAAAATACTGGCTTGAAAAGCCTTAATTATAAACATTCAGAATAAATTATTTTCTCGATGTGTGCTTGATAGAGGACCATAAAGGTTAAAGTACAAAAATCTCATAATAGTTTACAAGCAGTGCGCGAAATAAATATTCCACACACTATTGTACTTCGCTCACTAGGTATTTCGCGCACGGTGGATCGTGAGAAGTGGTCACTTGTTATTAACTCGCGAATTTTGTCATTCAAAAAAGTATTTTTTCTTGATTATGGAACGTTTTCGATGTTTGTTTGTTTGTAAATTTTAAGCATGTAAGTGGGTACTAAATCTCCTGGTTGCAAGATGTTGCTATAGTGGTCAGGAAGAACAATCTCATGATATTTAATTATGTATACAGAGTGGGTACAATATTTTAGACTTCATTGTCATTTGAATTTTTCTCTTATGGTCTTTTAAACTTTTATTCAGAATTGTACCTGTTTGGCCCACATTTCGGATCAGGTAAGATATACCTACCCACATCATTCCCACACGTTCCCACATATCTTTCACTGCCTAATTTGTAAATATAATTTCAATAGGTATTTCACAATATATGTATAATTATGAAATTGAGAATAATTCTCAATTTTGGTGAAGGTTAATTTCCAATAAGAAATCAAAGTGCGATCATCCATTTTTTGAATTAACAAATTCTATTATTGCTTAATGAATCATACGTGGAAATATGCATTCTCAGAATAGCGAATTACGCTCGGAATTACGCGAATTGGATTTTCCAAATATCACTTCACAAATACGCGGATTGAAATATTTATGAGAAATAATTAATGATTGTATAACCTTTCAACAACCTGTTCCATAGCGATAATGCAACATTTCTTTTGATAGCCTGGGGCCAGTCAATAAACGACATTGCTACTTAGTTGGAAGCCTTGATAGGAATTTTCAGAATTCGAAGGAATACAGGTGCGTTAAATTATACAGTATGACCGGCAACTCTGAAATTTTTTTCAAAGCCTCCTTGATTGTGGTGCAATAACTCGAATCATGATTCATTCTTAATTTTTGACTCGCCCTGTGTGTTAATTGAGTAATGGTATACAAAGTGCTTGCACCCTATACGAAAGAGGCTTCTTTTGCGAGCATTTTGTTTCTTTATTCATTGATGTATCTCTAAAATTTTCCGAATTACAGCTTTTTTGCTGATGCCTTACGCTTATCCCACAAATTAAATTTATTGAAGGATCAGAGTACTCAAAATTGATTGGGTTGTACTCTGGTAGGATCACATTGTCTTTAAAAAAACAAATGCCGTTGCCATAGCAACTAATTTGTTGTATGCCTCCATATTTGACCATTTGTCGTTGTGTCATTAATCAGGTGTCTTGTTTTATTGACTAAAATTACATAAAATGCCTCAAATAAATCCTGAACAAGTAGCAAGATTAGTTGCGTTAGTAAACGATGGGCGTAGTAAACGTTACGCCGCTCGTGCAGTGGGAGTTCATGAAGCAACTGCTCGTAGAGCAATCCGCAAGAACGAACAAACAGGAAGCACCACTCGGAGGGTCGGTTCTGGTCGCCCCCGCAAAACTTCTCCAAGAGATGATCGCTTCTTGAGATTGCGGATTTTACGGAATCGATCAAATACTGCGGTAAATGTTCAGCAAGATCTTCGCCAAATTCGTGATGTTGCAGTGAGTAAGCAGACGGTATATAGACGTCTAAAAGAAGTTAATTTAAAAACTAGGAGACCTGCAAAAGGTCCCAAATTATTGCCCGAACATCGTGCTGCTAGAAGAAATTTTGTTGAAAATTATGGACAGTGGAGAGATCTAGAAATATAACGAAGTGGAATATTCCTGAATGGTCGAATGTCTTGTTTACGGATGAGTCAAGGTTTTGCCTTAACATGGTGGATGGAAGAAAAAGAGTGTGGAGAAGAACTGGTGAACGGTTCAATCAAAATTTAATAACAGAATGCGAAAGTTTTAATGGTGGGTCCGTTATGGTGTGGGGAGGGATTTCAATGAATGGAAAGACACCCCTTCATGTTTTTCTCGGTGAGGCAGTCGATGAATGCCGAAATTTACATTGACATTTTAGAGCAGTATATCTTACCATATGCAGAGTTAGTGGGCAATAATTTTATATTGATGCAGGATAATGTCCGACCACACACCGCAGCAATAGTGCGAAACTTCTTAGAAGCTACTGGTATAACCACATTACAATGGCCTGCGAGAAGCCCCGATATGAATCCTATAGAACATATGTGGAATGAATTAGGGAGAAGGGTACGTTCTCGCGAGAGGTCTCCGGAAAGTCTCGCAGAAATGGCAGATGCATTAGTGGAAGAATGGGATCGTATACCAATGGAAACGATAAGCAACTTAATTTCCAGTATGCCTCGTACATTAGAAGTTCTTAGAGTTGCTAGAGGAGGCAATACACGGTATTAAGCAGTCATCCCAATTTATAATTTTGTGTTTAATAAAAATTTCATTAAAAAATTGTTTCTCGATAAATTCAGA